TGTGTCAAAGTGTTTACCAATCTGAGTCAGCACACCTTCCTTAGAAAAAAATTAAGCAAATGTATTTTATAAGGGAGATGTGTATAAACTCTATATAAAGTTCTATTCATGATGAAATTGTGAAAAACTTTTAAAATTACAAAATATTTCCTCACAATGAGTTTCTTTTTATTTTAAATTGCTAGCTTTCAAGTGATAATCACTCTTCAACGGGCTTAAAAAATATCGACTATATCTAACAAGAAATATTTACAAATACCAACATGCGCAGTGTGGATATTTACCACTGAAATTTCAAAAATGTAATTTTGAAGTAAAACTTCCCTATTTTTTCTCGTAACAACTCCCAGATGAAATGATGTTCAAACCTATAAGACATGTGGACACTTGAGACAAGGTTTGATAAGAGTTGAGGTGTCATCTTGACGGGAGAATACAGTCAACCTCCCATGATCCACCTCCCTGAACAACCACTTCCAAGAGAGACCAGTACTATGAGGCTGTACTATGGCACAATATACTAGGATATATCATTATTTTGCTTTTAATTATCTTTAAATAGATAAGTGGCTTCACCTATAATATTTGCCCAGGAATGCCATGTCTTCAGTTTCTCAACCTCCCATGATCCACCTCCTTGAACAACCACCTTTGTAAAGTAAAATAGGACTTGGCCAACCTTCAAGAGAGACCAGGAGTAGGATGGTCTTCCATGAGAGGCTGTACTATGGCACACTGTACTAGGATATATCATTATCTTTAAATAGATAAGTGGCTTATAATATTTGCCCAGGAATGCCATCATGTCTTCTGCAGTTTCTCCTGACACACAGTAGTGGACATCTCTCTACATGAAGAGAGTGACAGGTACTCACTCAAACATCAGAAGTAAAAATAAACACAAGGTAATAAGACCAAATCCAAATAAATAAATAGTGTGTGATGTTTCGGTAACAGCGTTGTTACTGAAACATCACATACTATTTATTTATTTGGTCTTATTACCTTGTGTTTATAATCTATAATCCAAATTGTGCCTTATCATTAAATCATTGGTTGGTGAGGCTGTATTTTTCTCTGAATCTCTCTACAATCATCTTTCAATTGAAAGAATGGCAAGAAATATTTTTTTCAAAAAAACTTGTTACTTATTCCCCTTGTGTAAAGATTACACAAATTCCATGAGTTCAAGCTCCTCAAGCTCTGTGTGCAATGTTGTTTCTTATCCCCTTGTGTAAAGATTACACAAATTCCATGAGTTCATGCTCCTCGAGCTATTTTATGATAAGCAGCGGCCTCTCCCAAAGGTCCTGTTTAGTGCATCTAATGCAAGCCAAAATGTGATCTGGAACTGCAGGTGCTAAGCTACATTTTGAGCAAGTGGGGTAGATTTTGTTGTTATTTTCAATGGCTTGACTCAAAAAACTGTAGATATATGGAGACAAGACAAAAATTAGAAGCAAAAAAAGGAGAGGGCAAGAGCAGTGTGAAGCGAGAGCGACACATTTAAGAAAATGGCTGCCACAGTGGTATTACCTTAGGTGGCGGTGGCCCGCCAATAACAGATGGCACCCCTGGAGATCCTCTTACTAGCCCAGGCTGCACATCCAACCCTCTGTGGATGGGGAATGTGGGGGAACACTATCGCTAGAGAATATCCCTTCCTATATTAACTATGGTTGTTTTAGCTAGAATTAGTGTATCAAATGGAAATTATAAACCTATTTTAACACTACTTTTCTTTCAAAATATACAGTAGAACCTCCATGAGAGGACACTCGTGCTAAAGGACAACTCTCTACAAAGGACAATTTTCATTTACAAAATTACTCTTTTTACTATTTAGTAACTCTCCGATAAGAGGACACCTCTCCCTAAAGGACAGGCTCTGCAACTAGGTATCCTTTACAGGGAGGTTCTACTGTATATATTTAAAATTATTTCTACAGCCCTTTATCCTGCGATGATTAGAAATTGAAAGAGGGAGGGCATGGCTCATTTTTCAATTTTTAATTGTCGCAGTATAAGGGCTGTAGAAATAATTTTAATTATATCTATTTTAAAAGAAAAGTAGCATTAAAATATGTTTAGAATTTTCATTGACAAATGGCACTAAGTTATTGATAATAACATCAAGTGGACGGGTGTTACTTTATTGTCAAAGAACTAGAGTGGAACACCTCGCTAGATCTCAGCTTATTTTATAACATCCTAACTCTAAGGTCCCAAGTTTCTAGAAAGATAGAAACCTCAGAAATGTAAGCAATAATAGAAAGTGACCTCCGAGGATAGATTTCTTTCTTTATTTACATATTCTCTCAAGCTTTCAGGTTTTATAAACCCTTCTACAGGAGTACATATACTCCTTGTCATATAGATATGTGGCGACTACACTTTACTTCAGCGAGCGCGAACTGGGACAAAGCTCCACTACACACACGGGCAGTGGACGGCCTCGGCAACCGCGAGCGTCAACCTGACTATGCATGCGCGCGGGACGTCATCAGAGACTTTGGCTGGCCACTGGCGTCATAACAACAAGGCCTGCTCCCAACGGCCGTTACTTCAACCGTTACTTCTCTTTATATATTTCTGGCTTTAAATAAATTAATTTCAATTAGAATTTTATCAGCGGCCTTTCCACAAGCCACACATCACGCAACAACCATCCTACAGATACAAGAAAATAAGACCTAATCCAAATATCCTAATAATCTTTTATTTATTCTTTTGTCTGATGATGGTAACAATGCTGTTATCAAAAGTCACACACTATTAAATTATTTGGATTAGGTCTTATTTTCTTGTATCTATAATCCAAATTGTCATCCTTGTCATATACTCCAGTAGAAAGGTTTAAAATACCTGAAAGCTTAAGAGAATATGTATGAAAAAGTGAAAGTTGTATAAGCTTATGATTTTGCTTTGTTTTAAAAATGAATCGATGTTGGTTCCATATGCTTGAATTGAATATTACACTTTTAGTTCTATGTGTATTTTATTGCTTAAAAAGGAACACAACAAAACAAAAAATAAACTACAATCACAAAATGATTTGATAACTAACAAAGAAAAAAAAAACAATAATAATGATGATGATGATAAAAAATTGAATATGTCTGCCATAAAAATGCTTCTATGAATTAAAAAAATAAGAATAATTACAAAATTAACATATAAACTTCAAACAGAATGTATAAATAGAGTAAGAGGCTTATCCTCGGAGGCCGTTTTATATAATTGTGTACCAAGTTTCTGTCCCAACTGTGGTTATAACAACAGGGTTAGAACAACCTAGATCTCAAGTGATATTGCTATAGGGACTGCAATCAGTTTTCAGATCTATACTAATGAATGTACCTCTGGCTTTTCCCCAGTTTTTACCAGAGTGCAAGTTTACCTAACAAACATTATTTTAAGCAGTAGCAATAAAAAATGAACAAACGCACATTTTTCCATTTCATTTATATAGATGCCAAATTTGTTTTCATTGTTTAGAAATTTTTTTTAAAATATACTTTAGAACATATATATATATTTAGGAAATAAGAGCATTTTAAGCATGAATGTTTGTTTTACACATAAACTTCTACTGTCCTTACTGTGCTGAAAAAATATTGGGAGGGCTTGGCTCATCAGTGGTGAACACTCACAGAGGTTTTGCCATTTTATCTACCCCAGACAGCTTTTTAGAGCTCTAATACTGTATTGGACGCTTCTGCTTATATATGCTACACTGAAGGGTGGAATCTCAGAAATGGTATTCAAGCAAACTATGGACATAAGGGACAGTAGAATTACTTCTAAATATTTGCATTGAACAATGTACTTCCGCGAACAATAAGGACAAATGTGAAAAAAATAGTACAAATGTGATATTGTACTGGGATAAGGTGCATAATTATGAAAAAAGGCATCTCCTTATCATGCAACTGAAAGTTGCTGATGGCTTGCGCCATCTATCGGAATAAATATCAACTATTATCAAGAATGGGTATTTGGCCAATTCTGGAATAATTAAAAATCAACGAGAATAGTTGATATTTATTCCGATAGATGGCGCAAGCCATCAGCAACTTTCAGTTGCACGATAAGGAGATGCCTTTTTTCATTTTTTTTTTTTTGCTTATCCCTAGTACACGTGGTACAGGCCATGATAATCATGGTGGGTAGTTAGCGACTGCTTTTTACTGTTAGCGCACCACATGTCTACACATGTGAAAAGCAGTTCAACTTTGCACTTACAAATGTGCCAGAGCCCCGTTTGGTTACTTGCACTCGCAGGTGGGGTTGGACTTTTGCAAGAATCGGGGGGCCATTGGAGCATTTTTTTTTTAAACAGAAAAAATTGTCCAATGCGGGAATCGAACCCAGGTCGTAGTGGTTGAAAACCAAACGGTTTAACCAGCCTTCCACCGACCCCCCTCCTTTTTTCATAATAAGGACAAAGTCAGTTTGTGGAAGAGCATTTCTCCATACAAATATTTCTATGTAATTCTACTGTTGTAAAAGCTTACATCCACTTTTGCACTTACCAAAAGGAAACTATATAAGGAACAAATAACTATATTTATTTACATATGCACCCCATAATATATATATAGAGAGAGAGATGAGTGGTGCCTTTTTCTCTTTCTTAAAGGTTTCCTTTCGTCCCAAGAAAATTTCTACCAAAATTTCACACATTAAAATGGTTCAGCTAATTTTCCAAAAAAAAAAAAAGAAACTTGTTAAAATCACAAAGATTTCAGGAATGCCTTGTGTTAAACCTTATGAGAAGCCCCAGGGCACTAAGGAGGTTTATTGAACCCATTGTTTTTCAGGTGAACTTTTTACATTTACCAAAGCCAATCTTTTGAGAAGTCTGTATGATTTCAGGTGTTCGATTGATAAAGCCTAGTGCTTTGAATCCAATTTTAAGATGCAAGCTCTCTTTCTCCAAGATTTTTCTTCACCAGAGAATTTTCCCTATACAGTTGAATATACTCCATGAGAGGACAATCGCACAAAGGACAGCTTTCATTTGCAAAATTACCATTTTTACTATTTAGCAACTCTCCAGTAAGAGGACACCTCTCCCTAAAGGACACTTTGGCTCTGCAATTAGTTGTTGTCCTATACAGGGAGATTCTACTGTTTATATATATAATGTAATTTGTGGGGGGAAGGTATTCATTTGTACACAGAAAACATCTTTAGAAAATCCACAAAACAATGTATTCCTTTGTCAATAATTCTTTGTCCAAAAAAAAAACTGTAGATTATAACACCTCCTTGAATTTGTAACAAATAAATTTACTGGCAATGTATTTCTTTTCAATAATATCATCAAATATTATCTCTATTTGATGATATTATTGAGAAGAAACACATTGCACAAATAAATTTAACCTCCCGGAATATTAGAATCTAATTTTGAGCTTTGAGAAGTTAATTGCTACTTCAGCACCACTCTAGAATACACACAGAAGAAAGCACTCACCGACTGGACGTAGTATTTCTCCTCGGGGTAGCCAGGCTTGGGATGTTCCATCTGGGATGGTAGCCCTCCCATGTAGCCTGCCCACAAACATGGTGATGAGACAGAGTCTCAGAGGGTTTATTATGGGGATTGATTCATCATTCACCAGATGTTTACCTGGGGCTATGTGCCAGATGTTTACCTTGGGGTGTGGCCATTTGGTAGGTGGGATGAGACTTGGAACTTGAAGGTTGCTCGTAAGAGCTGGGAGGCTCGTGGTGCCGGCTGGAAGATGCGGAGGGTGTGGCCAGATAGTGGTGCTTGGAGCTGGTGGGTTGGTCAAATTGAGGCGGACCAGGGGCGCCGGCAGCATAGGTGGGTGGGAATGAGGAGGGGGGGTAATAGGGCCCGCCTGTGTAGGTCACCTCTGGAACCACACCTCCTGGCCCCACTAGGGCCCTTGTCAATCAATAACAGTGTGGATCCCCTAACTTTCCAGTACAACATTGTGTGTATGTATGCTGTAATTTATAATATCAAGATAAAACAGTGGTTGCATGACAGGTTCAAAACAAAATGAAATCTATTCTTCGGAAGAATATGTGGAAATGGAATAAAAATACTATATTAACTATTTCAATGATAAAGAGCACAATTTGGATTATAGATTATAAACACAAGGTTAATAAGACCAAATCCAAATAAATAAATAGTGTGTGACATTTTGGTAACAACGTTCTTACCGAAATGTCACATACTATTTATTTATTTGGATTTTGTCTTATTACCTTGTGTTTAACTATTTCAGTTGAATAGAGGATTCAGGAGAATTCAGGATAAGTAAAAAAAAAAAAAAAAAGTTGAATAGAAATTTGGTAGTTGGTTCTGTTTTAGTGTGAAGTCTACTATACTAATATATACTGTGGTCTGTGTAACTATAATCCAATATGGCAGTGGGAGCTACTCACTGGGTGGGGGGTACTTGTAGTTATAGGAAGACTGGTACGACCCCGGGGCAGGTGGAGATGGGCTGCGAGTCCTCTTGTGGGAGGTGCCCTGGGCCAACAACAAGTCACTTCTTTGAAGCATTTTATTTGAATTACTGTGGATACATATCAGCATTTTTTTATAACCCCAATTTGGTTGTAACATCCTAATTCTATGGTCTCTGTGTGAGAAAAACAGCATTTTAAAATTTTACATCTTGTTTATATATAGGTTTTATTATCAAATGGATATTACTTTTTGAAAAGGCCTTCGACATTTAATTTTGGCAATACATTAGAACCTCCCTGTAAAGGACACCTAATTGCAAATCCAAAGTGTCCTTTAGAGATTTTTTTGAGATTTAAAAATATTTTATTGACATCATACACAAGTCAATGGTGGTATTATATAATATTTATAAAAAGAGGGATAAAATAAAAGAGTAAACTATATACAGTTATGTAAAGTCCAGGAGACAAAGAGTCCAGACAGTAAGTCACGTTCTCCCCTCATCTCAAGGCTCAGAAAGAACCTGTGTATTGATGACTTGGCAGAAGTGAGGATGGCGAGGATGGCGTTGTCATCCAGCCCTAAAACCCTTCCAGCCCTTAGAGAGAGATGTCCTCTTACCGGATAGTTGCTAAAAATTATCATTTTGCAAATGAAAACTGTCCTTTATAGAGAGGTGTTCTCTCATGGAGCTTCTACTGTAATTTTATTCACTTTTTAATAAGTTACTTCTATACAACTTTTTTTACTCGGTATAATCTTATTTCCTGAAGCTGATGTTTAACTTGTATAACTTCCTCTCTAACAGACAATTTCTAGTTGCACAGCCAGGGTCTTTTAGACAGAGGCTTGTGTCCTCTTACTGGAGAGTTTCTAATAGTAAAAATGGTCATTTTGGTGATGAAAGCTGTCCTATTGATGATTATGTAAATGATGGGGGGGAAATAACTGTTTAGTAGGATTAGTTGTAAAGAGTAGATAAATTTAAAAGAGGATTGAAAGTAAGAGCCCCCAATACTGACAAAAAGAGATCATCAGTAGATGAGAGTGCTGTGGCAGGGAAGGTCACCACAAGAGCTACCAGTTAACAGAGGTCCAATCCTGATAGCCAGATATGACTCTAACTTGGAGTCCACAAACCTGGGCAACTCCAGTGGTCCAGAACTCCATGGACAACTCTACAAGGGCATGTGACTGGTGTGAGGACAAGTGACATCTGTGAAGATCTAGAGAGAGAATGACCTGTAGACATTGACTACCCCACCAATCACCATATAGCCCACTACACCTCAATGCCAAGAGTCCCACAATGATGGAGCGGACCTAGGTGAGGTGACTTAAGGACTACAGATCAGATGAATCTGGACTTCATCATAAGAACCACCCAAGACATCTTTAGACAAGTATTTGGAGTGGACATTGTCTGATGTTAGAGAATCCATAGAAGAAGTGATGAAGCACAAGAGGTAGGGCTGAGCAGGAGGATCTGCCATGTTGGACAGCTCTGGACTGCAGGTCCAACCAGGAGAAGCAGGCCATGGAACAGTTCTACAAGAGGTAGGGCTGAGCAGGAGGATCTGCCATGATGGACAGCTCTGGACTGCAGGTCCAACCAGGAGAAGCAGGCCATGGAACAGTTCTACAAGAGGTAGGGCTGAGCAGGAGGATCTGGCATGATGGACAGCTCTGGACTGCAGGTCCAACCAGGAGAAGCAGGCCATGGAACAGTTCTACAAGAGGTAGGGCTGAGCAGGAGGATCTGGCATGATGGACAGCCCTGGCCTGCAGGTCCAACCAGGAGAAGCAGGCCATGGAACAGTTCTACAAGAGGTAGGGCTGAGCAGGAGGATCTGGCATGATGGACAGCTCTGAACTGCAGGTCCAACCAGGAGAAGCAGGCCATGGAACAGTTCTACAAGAGGTAGGGCTGAGCAGGAGGATCTGGCATGATGGACAGCTCTGAACTGCAGGTCCAACCAGGAGAAGCAGGCCATGGAACAGTTCTACAAGAGGTAGGGCTGAGCAGGAGGATCTGGCATGATGGACAGCTCTGGACTGCAGGTCCAACCAGGAGAAGCAGGCCATGGAACAGTTCTACAAGAGGTAGGGCTGAGCAGGAGGATCTGGCATGATGGACAGCTCTGGACTGCAGGTCCAACCAGGAGAAGCAGGCCATGGAACAGTTCTACAAGAGGTAGGGCTGAGCAGGAGGATCTGGCATGATGGACAGCTCTGGACTGCAGGTCCAACCAGGAGAAGCAGGCCATGGAACAGTTCTACAAGAGGTAGGGCTGAGCAGGAGGATCTGGCATGATGGACAGCCCTGGCCTGCAGGTCCAACCAGGAGAAGCAGGCCATTCTATTCCCTGGTCTGCTTCTCCTGATTGGACCTGCAATCCAGGGAACAGAAGTTCTACAGGAGGTAGGGCTGAGCAGGAGGGTCTGCCATGTTGGACAGCCCTGGATTGCAGGTCCAACCAGGAGAAGCAGGCCATGGAACAGAAGAGCATTCAAGCCATCCAAGCATTCTCAATTGTCTTTTGCCCTTTCACTTTTAAGAATATGCTATCCAGACACCTTGCTGCTGTTTCCTCATTTAAAGCATCTCTCAGATACAGCAGTTGTTACATATAGTCTTTGTGTACCTTTGAATACTCTTCTCTATTCGAAATGAATAAGCATTAAAATGATAAAATAAATAATAAAAATTTAGTTAGGGAATGTTTAAATCAATTAACATGGTACAATTTACAAGATATTAATATATGTAATCTTTACATAAAGGGGATAAGAAACAACAACAAAATATTAAAATTATCCAGAAAATCACAACAGCTCAGGTTTTAAAAAGTAGCCACTATTTTTAACATGTTGACTTATAGTGAAAAAATCTAAAAATATATGAAAAGGTATTTTTTGTCAGCAGGACCTATCAGATCCCTACTTAAGAGCTTGTAAATAAATTCAAAGCTGCTTGCCATCTCAGATCTATTACCTCATGCCAAACCTACCGGAGTGCCGAGGCTCTGCTGTGGGGGCGCCACTTTGTACATCACAGCTGGGGGTCGGCCAGGAGAGAGAAGCTGGTTCTGGTCTGTCACATTATTCTCTCAACCACATTTCTTACAGAAGTTGATAAATGTATGGATCAATAGAGTAGAGAACCACCAGACAATGTCTATCAAACTTGGATACCTGTGGTCTTTTCTGGAGGTGATTTCTCATTGGAGGCTGGGTAGCTGTTGGTTTACCAAGGTAGGTCATGGGAGGTCCTACCAAACGGGGCTCTGGCACATTTGTAAGTGCAAAGTCGAACTGCTTTTCACATGTGTAGCACTTATAGTAAAAGCAGTCGCTTACTTCTACCCGCCAAGCTAAGTTAGTTAAAAATCTAATCATGACAAATGTGCTCTAAATAAATCACTGAATCAAATAAATCACTAAATCAATTAATTATATCAAATACTTCTACCCGCCCTGATTATCATGGTCTGTACCACGTGTACTAGGGATAAAGGAAAAAAAAAAAAAAAAAGAGGGGTCCTACATTAAGGAACATGGTACAATTTGGATGTTAGCAGTAAATCATAAATGGACGAATTGAACTCTCTATGGTAGCATCAGATTTAGTGCTGTACTAAGGGTAGCCATGCAGTAACTGTGGCACCTTGGCTCTATGTGAAAGTACATCAGTAACTCACTCAGCATGTAGAACTGGGCGGAGGGATGGCCCACAGCTATGTTGGGGTAGGCAGCTGCGAAGGCCATCAGCTCGTTGTTGTCCACACTGCACACAGCAAGTTTGGACAATTCAACATACTACTGTTGAACAGATGGAAGTCTAGTAAAATAGCCCTCTATTCTAATCAATGTCACCGCTTTACCAGAAGTGTACCATTCTGGGAACCAGGTGGAAAATGGGCCCTTGACTGTTAAAATCTGTGATTGCGGGTCAGTTGAGCATTGGAATTAAATGGTAAATTTCAGACTCCAAAAGTCGCAGATGAAATCTGCTTGACACCATTTTTGAGATTAGAAAGAGGAAGACTGTAGAACAGCCTCACTAGAGAACACCTCTCTACAAAGCCCAGTTTTACATTGCCAAAATTATCATTATTCCTATTTAGCAACTCTCCAGTAAGTGGATACCTCTACCCAAAGAACACTTTGGCTCTGCATCTAGGTGTCCTTTACAACGAGTCTATTGTCTCAGAAAAGTTGATGGGCTTATTACCTAAACTTAAATCCAATAGAATGGAATGTCCCTCTTTATAACGGCAACTTGGTACTAGCATCATATAGTTTACTAACCTCGCTATACCAGGATCACCAAGATGTTGTTATGTAACACAGTTAAAATATAAAAAAAGGCTTTTCTTTATTGTGCAACTGAGAGTTTCTGATGATTTGTGCCATCTATCATAATAAATATCAACTAACAAATACTCATTCTTGATTAATCAAGAATTCTGGAATAATTAAAAATAACGAATAGTTGATATTTATTCCGATAGATGGTGCAAGCCATCAGCAACTTTCAGTTGCACGTTAAGGAGATGCCTTTTTCTTAATTTATTCACCTTATCCCAGTACAATTTCACATTTGTACTATTTTTTTTTTCCACAGTTAAAATAATTTAAAACCTATTCATGGGGGGTCGGTGGAAGGCTGGTTAAACCGTTTGGTTTACGACCACTACGACCCGGGTTCGAACCCGCATTGGAAACTTTTTTCTGTTTAAAAAAAAAAATGCTCCAATGGCCCCCCGATTCTTGCAAGAGTCCAACCCCACCAGCGAGTGCAAGTAACCAAACGGGGCTCTGGCACATTTGTAAGTGCAAAGTCGAACTGCTTTCACATGTATAGACATGTGGTGCGCTTACAGTAAAAAGCAGTCGCTAACTACCCACCATGATTATCATGGCCTGTACCACGTGTACTAGGGATAAGCAAAAAAAAACCTATTCAAATAAATATAGTGTGTGACATTTCGGTGACAAACACTGTTACTTAAAAGTCTCACACTATTTATTTGGTCTTATTACCTTGTCTTTCTAATCTATAAATCTAAATTTAAATCTTGACATAGTATAATTATTACAAAACAGCACATAACGACTTCATGACAAAGTACTCTGGTACCAGCCAAACCTCACACAGTGCCACGAGGAATGCTGTTGTCAGAAATTTGAACTATTTCTTGACATGTATGATTCTTTTTGAATCAAATAATTTTCTAATGCCCTTCCATTATTTTTATTTTTTTATTTATTCATTTTTTTTTTTTGCTTATCCCTAGTACACGTGGTACAGGCCATGATAATCATGGTGGGTAGTTAGCGACTGCTTTTTACTGTAAGCGCACCACATGTCTACACATGTGAAAGCAGTTCGACTTTGCACTTACAAATGTGCCAGAGCCCCGTTTGGTTACTTGCACTCGCTGGTGGGGTTGGACTTTTGCAAGAATCGGGGGGCCATTGGAGCATTTTTTTTTTTATTAAACAGAAAAAGAGTCCAATGCGGGAATCGAACCCGGGTCATAGTGGTCAAAAACCAAACGGTTTAACCAGCCTTCCACCGACCCCCCCATTATTTTTATAATTGCAGTAAGGGCAGTAGAAATATTTAGCAGTGAGACCCCACCTCTCCTTCTCTCTCCTCCGAGCTTGCTCCTCATGAAGGACTTTCTTGAGCTGGTTGAACATCTGTTCCTTCTCCTCCTTGGCTTCCTCCAGCTTCTTGTTTACTCTGGCCACCTGGCAGCACACCATGTCCTTGTTAACTTGGAACACTTCATGTCTTTAAAAAAAACTCTACAATCTTGGGAAGGTGACTATTCAGAAATAAGGCCTATCAGATTTTAGACCAGTGTCTACATCAAGCATGTCAAACTCAAATCCTAACACGGGCCAAATAAAAAAGTAATAAGATTATGTGGGCCGCAAAAAAAAGAAAACAAGTAATTAAATTTTTATAGTAACATTTATGTAGGTTTATTTAAAAAAAATACTGCACAAATTATTGAACGTAACTTGAAAAAAAAATTTTTTCTAGTACTCCGAAAGAATATTTTCTTTAAACTTTAAGGCACACAATACTTATGGCGATGTACATACGTTATGTATGTAGGTATAATATTATCAAAACTTACGACTTATGTATGGCGACCAGTGGTTCGTTATTAATAAATAAATTATGTATAATTACAATTTTTAAAATTAGGCTACAAATTTTTATTATATATTTTTTTAATTTATAAAAAAAAATGTATTAAAATATATTATCTGGTGGGCCGCAAATTTATTCGTTGTGGGCCGCATGAGGCCCGCGGGTTTGACATGCTTGGTCTACATCTAACACCGGTAATATAACAAACAACAACAAAAAGCTTTATTAAGACCTTTCAGTCTTATACAGATTCTCCGAGTAGAAAGGAAGGGTACATGCAGAAAAAAAAAAACAAACAGTAATAATACCAGTAATAAGCATTGTTATCATTATTATTTTTAAAGCTGATCACATTAAATGGCAATATAGAATTTATACACAGGAAAACTTAATTAAGACAATCAAGTTAATAAATAGATAAGTCTGGGTAAATTGGAGGAAAAGAAATTTATTATACCTGGATTTACCATGGAGTCTCTGCTAATGAAAAAATAAAGTAAAAGCTAATTACGTTTAATATTAATAGTGGAATTTATTTACAAGAAAACCTAATTAAGACAATTTGCTCATAAACAGATTGGTCTGGGTAACACTGGTAATACAACAGTCAATATTAATGTGTGGTGTTTGGGAAAATATATGGACCCAGCTTAAAATATGGCCGTTCTAAAATTTTAAAAATATCATTTTCTCATTGTGTATATTTCAGAACTTTTATCTGATTGAACTCATGAAATTCGTTTAATCTTTACACAAGGGGATAAGAAACAACAACAACAACTTTTATCTGATAATGGTAACAACATTGTTATCGAAATGTCACACACTATTTTATTTGTATTTGGGTCTTATTAACTCGTGTTTCTAATTTATGATTCAAATTGAACCTAATCAAACTCTGGAGCATTCATAATAAACTCTGATTTTTGACTGCTGCTGGGATCAAATCCCTCATGGAGAGTACTTTTTTTTCTGAAGAAAAATTAATTGAATGGTCCTCGATTCTTGCAAAAGTCAAACCCCACCAGTGAGTGCAAGTAACCAAACTCTGGCACACTTGCAAATGCAAAAGTTGAGCTGTTTACTACTTGTGCAGACATATGGTGTATTTTCAGTAAAAGCCATCGCCAACTACTACCCACCATGCTATCTGACCTATACATGTCATGTACTTGTGATAATTATTTTTAAAATTATATTGTTGGCCTTATGTAATCCACTTAGACTTGCCATCTCAAGCCATTGAAGATAGAAAATAATAACAAAATTTATCCCACTTGCCCAAAATGTAGTTTGGTACCTGCAGCTCCAGAACACATTTTGGCTTGCATTAGATGCCCTAAACAGGACCTTTGGGAGAGGCCGCTACTCATCATAAAACAGCTCAAGGAGCATGAACTCATGGAATTCGTGTAATCATTACACAAGGGGATAAGAAACAACAACAACAACTTAGACCAGTATCAAGAATACAATACTCAAGACATTCGAGAAAATAAAATTTTGCTTAGGTTCTTAGGCTGATTAAAACATCATTCAAATAGGTGAGGGTATTGCCTGAATTCTCTTCATGGACCAATTAAAGAAACTCACTGGCTTAACGGTCGTTGAGATGGTACATTGAGCTCAAGACAGAGATGGCTGGCGTCGCATCGTGTTTGGGATGTAATACATACAGTGGGCCACAACGTTCAATCACGAATAAAATAATATTACTATTACCTGAATAAATTGTTCGATGTCACAACTGGCTGGAACAATTGGTCAAAAGGAAGTCTATTGAATGGGAGAACACTTCACTATGCATGCGAGGGTGACATCCGGGACTCTTGCCATGCGCGTCGTTCAACAACAAGGCTTGCTTCCAGCGGCCGTTACTTCTTCCCCCTCTATATATTTCGGGGCTATAAATAAATAAATTTATTTTATAAAAATAATTATAATTTTATCAGCAGCCTTTCCACAAGCCACACCAACACGCACGCAACCATTCCACAAGTTTTAAGCGAGTTTACAACAGCAATTTCTCTGGATCTCCAGTTCCAGATATTACAGGGATAAGTCTTCTTGTTCTTTCTTATCTCCACTCAATCATATTAGGGCGGGGATAAGTTAATTCCTTTGACAAGGACACCAATGAGATCTTCTATTTCAGGTAAGGTGTGGGTGTGTAGTGATCCAGCTTCAAAACAGAATTTCAAGTTATTTTAAAATCATCGCAAATACCAACTTGGCCATTCTGCCTCAACGACAGCACAATAGGAGCTGCCCAATCATTTCTTTCTATTTTAGTAATCCCACCTTGGATCTCTATATAGCACTTCTGATATAACCAATAGAACACTTTGGACTTTTGCCTCGTTTTTAAGAACAGCATTACTCTGATTATACTCCAACATCTCAAGTGCTGGAAGAACACATTGGAGAATTTAAACACAAGGTAATAAGACCAAATCCAAATAAATAAATAGTTTGTGACGTTTCGGTAACAGCGTTGTTATCATCTTCAGACAAAAGTGCTGAATGAGAAAAAATATCACAGCATGTGATTTCAGTATCATTCAACATTCACATGCTGTGATATTTTTTCTCATTCAGCACTTTTGTCTGAAGATGGTGACAATGCTGTTACTGAAACGTCACACACTATTTATTTATTTGGATTTGGTCTTATTACCTTGTGTTTATAATCTATAATCCAAATTGTGTCTATCATTGGAGAATTTGTTTAGAAATGCGGGTGATTCCTTGAATAGAATTTAAGTCTGAAAATATGAACAGTGTTCTAAAGGAAAGCATTTAATCCAGCTATGCCTGGTAGCTTCAGTTATCATCAGTGGTAGTTTCTTATTTGTTTCTGTTGTTGTTTCTTATCCCCTTGTGTAAAGATTACACTAATTCCATGAGTTTACGATCTCATGGAATGGGGTATAGGAGTGCAGCTTTCATTGATCATGGCACCATGATCAAGGCACACTTTGTTGAAAGTCTGACTTTGCCTGTAGTTTGAGGCCATTCCTAACATGGAATCCTTTGCTGCCGACTCTAACACGAGTACAGACACAGCTCCTCTGTATTCCTGGAGGGGGACCCTTGCTGAAGACCATCAACCGGGTCAGTTGAACTCAGGATTTTTAGAGATTTGTTTCTTCCACCAGCACTTCTAGTGCTGACATCTAATTCCATATTTGAGAACGAGAGAGACCCCAAGATTTAAATTTACACAGTAGAGATTTAAAATACTTTCCCCAAAAAACTTCTATAAAGTAGAACCTTTTTGTAAAGAGTTGCAGGGAGATGCCAAAATTTGTGTTTTGATAAAAATTTGAGAAAAGGGAGATTATATATTCACACTTCATTTTAAGAACATTCACATACATGCTTCTCCAACTGTCGTGTATTTAAATATTTGATAAGTTTGCCAAAACGGTTTATTAAGGACAAACAATAATAACTATATTTTTCATTTTAGAATGTCACCAACAAGGATACAATTTTATATAATTCTCCCCCTTCAACCTAGAATCAAATATTGAGAAATCACAGAATCCTTATTAAAGCTACAACACAGAGCATGGGGAATACAAATTATGAAGTGTTGGGACAGAGAGGTAGTTCAGACTTGTCTATGGGGGGTACTAACCAGGCCATATGAGAATTGCAACAAATTTAAGCTTACTTTTTCTTTAATTTCTTCAATGGACGTTTCATCTCGTTTCCTTTTCATTTCTTGTTCTCTTCTCATCTGTTCTTCAGCTGCATGTTCCTCTTGTTCTGTTCACAGAGTCAGATGTACAAGACAGACAGGGACGGAGGTAGCATCTGATATCACACTCTAAATACTGCCATCTATCATGGAATGGAACCAACTACCCGGGTACA